GCTGAAGTTGGACACTTACCTGACTGAGCCACCCAGGCACCCCAGAAACTGAAAATATTTATTCCTTGTTAAGAAGGAACTACTACTAATTGCAACTCTGATTGACTAGGAGGCCAAAGGGGCCTTTCCAGTTACTGGAGAAAGTTACTTTCAAAATTGGCTGGTGCTCTTTATAATTACATGTATATGGGGCACCTGGGTGGCTCAGTTGTGAACGTCCAACTTCAGCTCAGGTCATGATCTTGTTATTCGTGAGTTTGAGTCCCACACTGGGCTGTCTGCTGTCAGCACAGAGCCCACTTCACATCTTCTGTCCCCCTCTCGCTGCCCCTCCCCTGCTTGCACTCTCCCAAAAATAAATCTTAACAAAAATAAAGCTACAATCACACGTACAGAACCACGGACTTCATAGTCAGATTGTACCATAATCAGTCTTACCTGAATAATAAATATCTTGGGTTTTCCAACTAGGCTCTGACATTTGTCTCCTTTGAATAAGCCAGTCAAAGTCTGAATTTCAATCTTGGTATCTTGTGCATAAATGTGACTGCCTTCGCCATGACTCAGGAAAACACATAAAAAGCAATCGGCATCTATGTGGCTAGAAGATGATGCTATAAAGGGCCACAAAAGTTCATACAGAAATGAAGATAAGATGTTTACTGTCTACATAGAGAAAGAGAATTTACTAATACTAAAGTTACATATGATGGAAGAGGAAAATGTGTTACACTAAATGAAATGTAAAGAGTACATAATGAGAATGTAAGGTCTTAGTCTTTAATCAAAGGGAAATTTACATCATACCGTACCTGATTTTTAACAACCTATTAAAAGTTCAAAGGGTTTAAACAAATTCCATTAACTTTTCTACAATACAGAATAATGACAGGAAAATATAATGGGATTGCTGTGGCATCAATAAAAGTTTCTCTGAATTAGCAGAGAGCTTCTTAGAGCAGACTGGAAAGACCGGCAACTACTACTTAGCAAGTGCTGTGTTCTGTTGCCCCTCCAGTGAATGCAGCAGCTTCATCATGTCTGTAGCACTTACAGCTTCCAAAGAATATTAAGACATGAGACTCATGTCCTCCAAAGCGGATGAGTAAGCGAAGTAGAAAACCTGGTAAGGAGCCAGTTAAAATTAAAGTGACTTACAGATTAAAGAAGTCTTGTATGGAGGTGCCTCAAAAAATTAAAAACGATCCAACAATTCCACCTCTGGGTATTTATGAAAACACTAATTTGGAAAGATACCTGCAGCCCCGTTGTTTATTGGAGCACAACAGCCAAGATATGAAAACAACCTAAGTGTTCATCAATGAATGGATGAAGAAAATTATATACATAGACATCTACCTTTCCCTATATAGAGATACACATGCAAGAATATTATTCAGCCATAAAAAAGGAAATCTTGGCCTTTGCAACAACATGGATGGATCTTGAGGTCTTTATGCTAAATGAAATAAATTCAAGAAAGACCTATACTATATAATCTCACTTATATGTGGAGTTTAGAAAACAAACTTACTGATAAAGAGAATAGATGGGTGGTTGCTGGTGGGTGGGTGGGGGTGAAGTGGGTTAAAAGGTACAAGACTTCCGATTATACAGTAAGTCATGGGGATATAATGTACAGCATATCACCTATAAGAATACTGTATTGCATATCTGAAAGTTGCTAAGTAAATTTTTAGTCTTTATCACACACAAAAAAAACAACTTTTCGGGGCACCTGGGTGGCTCAGTCGGTTGAGCCTCCGACTTCAGCTCAGGTCACGATCTCGAGGCCCGTGAGTTCCAGCCCCGCGTCGGGCTCTATGCTGACAGCTCAGAGCCTGGAGCCTGCTTCGGATTCTGTGTCTCCCTCTCTCTCTGACCCTCCCCCATTCATGCTCTCTCTCGGTCTCAAAAATAAACATTTTAAAAGAATTAAAAAAAAAAACAACAAAGCTTTTCTGTACCTCTGTATGGTAACCAGACACTGTGGTGACCATTTTACAATGTATACAAATACTGAATCATTATGTTGTATATCTGAAACTAATACAATGTTACATATCATTTATACCTCAATTTTTAAAAAGCTCTGAGGTTTAAATAATTATGTAAATATTATAATAGTCCATTGGCAAATGACTTGAAAATCCACAGTGTGCAGTAATTATTATAAACATAAGTTGTGAAAATACCTACTGCATAGTGATGCAGAAATTTAGAGACAATATATATAAATCCAGTTTTTGTTTGTTTTGTAAATCCACAATTTGTTGAAGCCAGTAAAAAAACCTGGGTATGGAAGGAGTCAATTAACACCTGACTGCCCAGCATCTGTAGTGTTTGCAGTTTAGACTTGATTCATTCATTTCTGGAATGACAGCCTGTTAGCGGGTGGTATGCTACATATAAATTCAGAGGCAAAATCCTTTGGAAGAGTCTCTGAATCCAGTAGTAACACATAAGCAAAGAGGCACAACCGAAACCTGTAACCCATGCTAAAGTAGTTGGTCAGACATTTTTCCAGCATAATTATCTGGATTCTGGAGAGGGTAACTGAAGCAATCCATCCCCTCAGAAGACGAACAGGAAAACTACTTACCCTCATGGATTGTGAGCAGGAGCTCCTCTGCTTTCAGATCATTAAAGCATTTCACTTCAAATCCTAGCTCTGAAAACCTGGTGACAAACTGGGTATTAGCTTACGAGCTGCTCAAAGTCGTCATATATCCCTATTTCCCTGAGGAATCTATACGTGTTTTTATGACCTCTAAGTTGACTTTTCTTTGGAGGGGGGAAGAAAAAGTGAAATATGACAATGATAGTTCTCCTTGCTCACCCACAGCAGGAAAGGATTTACTCATACTGAAAGCTGATTCAAGTTAGGATACAGCAATGTAAATATATACGTAATGATTCAAAGCCTGTTTACATCTAATAGAACAAGGTTAGGAAGAAAATTCAGGCAAGTTCTCAAGGGATGCTGTGCCCAAATGAGGCTCATCCTGATACTCTATTTCATCAGTGTGGACACGTTTTGGTGAGTGTCATTTTATTAAATAGGTCATCATCTTGACGTGTGGATAAAACTAGCACCTGTGGGGCACCTGGGGTGGCTCAGTCACTTAAGCCACTCTTGATTTCAGCTCAGGTCATGATCTCATGGTTTGTGAGTTCGAGCCCCGCACTGGGAATTGTGCTGACAGCACAGAGCCTGCTTGGGATTCTCTCCCTCTCTGCCCCTACCCTGCTCACTTTCAAATATAAACATTAAAAAAAAAAACACAACAACTGTTACCTGCGCCTAAGATTGTCTCTGTCTGCACTGGTGCCCCGCCTTTCTGGCAGTGTTAAACGCCAGGAGAACCTCTCATGATTGAAGATTAAAGCGGTTCCTCTCCTCTTGTGGTCCATTTTGTACTTTTCTGCCGGATCAAATGTTTCACTGTTAACGAAAAGTTTATGAACGACAATCACTAGGTCATATTAAATAATGAGCTCCTCCAAGCCCAAGATCAATGGGTAGGGTAGACAGAGGGCTCCTGTTTCCTCCTCCTTTGCCAGGGTGACATGATACTGGTGTGCACTGGGAAAGCCTGACAGAAATATTTCTGTACTGATTGGTAAACAGCAGCTACCTGGAGCTCCCCACCCCCAGTCACCCCAGGGATGTCTTTTCTCCAGGAACCAGGGACAACAGCCCGCCCAGGCCCGGCTCTGGCTCCAGGGCCCATGCCACCCCCGTTGCTAAGTACTTTGGACATCACTGTAGGTCCTGAACCTCGACCAGGGGCAGCGGCCAACCCGAGGCTCTACAAGTTAGCTCTCCCAGCGCTAACACTCGCCATTCTCTGCTCTGCTTCTTCCCCGGGGCCATTCTTGCTTCTTACAGACTGATCTTGACCAGCAAAGGAAGAGACATTTGTCAGGCAAGAGCACGTTTTTACCTCATATAGAAGGCATCTGTTTCGGTCATGTTTTCCTCCACACCTATTTAAAAAATTGAATTTGGTTAATTTACTCTTTGACTTGTAACACACTGCAGGACTCCCACACTGTGAACCCTTCTCTGGTTTTGCTTAGTTTAAAAGTCAAAAGTATATGAAAAGGAAAGGAAAAGGAAGGGAACTTAATAGATAAATGAACCATAAATTAACAGCTCAATTCTTTCTCACCCAGCACTCTTATTTGCAAAACAGAAAAGAATATTATCAAGATAAATGGAGGAAACATTATGCAAATGCATTCATGCAAAATATACCTGAAGTAACACGGTTCTGTGACGTGGGGCACAAATGAGATACGGAATTGTTCAGCGGAAAATGTTTTTGCAGATATTCTCTAAAACCGAAAAGGAATTAAAAACACAGGAAAACCAAAACACGGCGTCTGGTTAATACCGGATCCCCCTCTGAAACGGAAACGGTAGAAGTTTGGGGCAGGGAAAGGGAAGGAGCAAGGGTAAAGGCTTAAACTTTGGGTCTCCCGAATGATTTATTTGCGCTTACAACCCATCACGTGATGGAGACCCTCTGCTCTCGACCCATGCTCAGACTTCCCCACCCTCTGGACCACCTTTCACTGCGTCCTTCTCTACTCGCTAGAACAGTGCTGTGCAGCTGAACTGTCTGTGATGACGGAATGGTTCTGTACCTGTGCTGTCCCATATGCTAGCCACGGACCACATGTGGCTGTCCAGCACTTGAAATGGGGCTAGTACAGCTAAGGAACTCAGCTCTTCATTTCAACTTAAATAACCATGGTGGCTGGTGGCTTCTGTACTATAAGGCACAACGGGTCTAGCATCTTCTACAATACAGGCCCATACACCCATGACTGTGTTTCTGCCTGATAAACTTAGCCCAGAGGGGAAGGAAAGTAATGAATAAACAAATATGAACAGTGTAGCAAGATGGTCCTCTCCGCCGACGTCACTGAAGGAAACACAACAGACCCTCCCACCCACCCCTTCTAACCAGGAGGGTCCTGTTCCCTTCTCTCCCGGACACCAGATTGTTCTACCTTCACACCTCCTCCCTGACAGAAATCGGCCCTGAGATGAGGGTGAGGCTGGCAATCAATTCTGTGCCCTTTACCACTCACTTTCAGCCGATTCCTCCTGGAATTCCCCCAGTATCCAGACCTAGTGAGGACCCCACGAAGGCCCTCCTGCTGTCTGACAGACCCTCATCTGCTTTCCTCAGTCTTTGCATCAATTCCTGGCCTGGGTGATAAAATGCACATTCCTGGGTCCTAACCCAGATTTGTAGAATCAGAATCCCAGGAGAGGGAGAAATCTGCATTTTTAACAAGGTGATCTGATTTTTATACCAGAGCTTAGGCTTAGGAGTAAAGAGCAGCCTCCCTAATGCATCCCCCCACCCCGCCAGCTCACCTGGTTTCCTTCCTACTCCATGCACTGTTCTATTTGGATACCTCCTTAAAAAATAAAAAATAAAAATTTATTGAAAAGAGAGAGAGAGAGAGAGAGAACGTGAGTGGGGGAGGGGCAGAGAGAGGTAGAGTCCCAAACAGGCTCTGCGCCTTCAGCATGGAGCCCACGAACCATGAGATCATATCTGAGCTGAAGAGAGTCCATGCTCAACCGACTGAGCCACCCTGAAGACCCCACTAGGATATCTCCCAACTCCAGCCTGCTCTCTAGGGGACACCCCCTATTCCTCACCCTGCTCTCCGGGTGACCTATCATCACCCACGCACCACAGGCTCTACCAGGTACCTGGCGTCTCCTACACTGCTTACTGGGGTACCACTCACACGTTTACCTACCCAGGACACATCCTACTTGCTCTACCGGGAATATGTTCTACTCTTCTCACTCCAACAACTACTCTACCCAGAAGGTTTCCTACTCCAGACACCAGTCATACCGCTGTATGGGGGGTAGCTCCACTTCACTCCCCGCTTCCTTCTCTCCATACTTGCCTACTGGAGACACTTCCTATTCCGCACACTGCTCACCGGAGGTTACGTCCTACGCTTCCTACTCCACAAACTGCTTTACGCAGAAACTTCCATACTACCCGCCGCTCTCCAGGGGAGAGCACGCTCTGCATGCTACCCAGGATGTTTTCTCCCATTCTGCTTTACCTGGGATACTTCCTACTCCACACCTTGCTCGACGTGAACCACTTCCTGCCAAAACCGGGCTCTAAGGACAGCTTCCTTGGCACACACCTCTCTGCCCAGATGTTTCCTCCTAGCTGTTGCTGCACCTGCACCTGGGCGAGCCTCGTCCTGCACACGGTGCTTCGGGGGGGGAGGGGGAAGGGGGGGGCTTCCTACTTCACACACTGCTCCACCAAATAGTCTTCCTATTCCACAGGCTTCTGCTGGTATGCTTCCTGTCGAGATACTCTGTGCTCCATACACGGAGTACTTCCTACACCACAGTGTTCTAGGGGGTGACTTTATACACTGCTCCACCAGGGACACTTCCTACTAAGCCTCCCCTCTACCTGGGGATACTGCCTACGAACACACTGCTCCACTCGGGATACTTTTTACTCCACACATTGTTCTACCTGGAATACTTCCGCCTCCACACACTGCTGTGCCCTCAACACTTCCCACCTCACACCCTGTCTACGGGGATTACTTCCTGCTCCCCACACTGCTCTACTAAGGCCCAGGAATTTTCTCACCTTCCATTTTCAAATGCGCTCCAGGATCTACCTCCTTTTAATAGCCTCACCTCCTTCTCTTCAAATCAATTAGACAACAAAGAAACAACACAACTCAAACTAAACACATTCCATCTCTACGTGAAGGACAATCGCCCCATTCACTCCCTGGGAAGCTGCACAGTGTGGGAAGCACAGATCTCTTACCACGGTGTGCAACATAGCAGGCCCAGCAGCTCACCTCTTCCAGCTTTTGCTCATCGGTTAGTGAGCGTCAGGCCGCTCAAAGGGCAGAGAGAGGGTGGAAGTTGTGGCAAATGGCCCCGTCACCAAACTAACTCAAGTCATGGAGGGTGAAGGCACTGGAGATGTGTACTCGATCGGGTCCTTAAAGTTCATTGTTTATAGTCTAAGGAAGGAACTGTGCCGTTCCTCCCGGTTAGGTATCTAAGCTGTGCATCTGGGTTGTCTCAAATACTGCCTTCCACTTAGACATGACCCACAGATTTAGGAAAGACAGCCAGTTTTAAGTAACTCAAGATAACTTAAAACATTGTTTCAGGGCGCCTGGGTGGTGGCTCAGTCAGTTAAGTGTCCAACTCTTGATTTCGGCTCAGGTCACGATCTCGAGGTTCGTGAGTTCAAACCCTGCGTCAGGCTCTGTATTGACAGTGCAGAGCCTGCATGGGATTCTCTCTCTGCCCCTTCCCACCTCTCTCTCTGCCCCTTCCCCTCCCCCCCAATCAATCAATCAATCTTTTAAAACATAACGTTGTTTCAAAGTCAACAGATTTGGCAATCTCTGAGGGATCTTCCAAAAGTGTTTTACTGTTAATACTGACACAGAAGGAAACGGTCTGAGAACTTTACTTCAGACCCTTGCCAGCTCAAACCCTGCTCCAATATAAATGTGCGCCCTGCATCCTGCACCCCCAGTTATGGATCAGGTCCAGCTGCCATTCTGTTCTGGCTACTTGTTCACTGAAAGCGATCGGCACACACATTAGAATCTAAATTTGATACATTACTGGAGTTGATAAATTTTACCCAGGTGCCACAGAAAACACATCGGGACTCAGGCGGTATGTCCTAAGCAGACAAATTTTCAGGAAGGGCACACTTTAACAAGTGTCGTTACACTGCAGGAACACAAGTTGCCTGCCTAAAAGGGTAAATGGCTCTGTCAACATGGAGAAATTTTTAACGGAGATGCTCTATATAATAGACTTGCACACTCCCGTGCATCTGCAATCTATCAAAAATGGGTCCGTCATCAAACTGGACTCTTGTCCTCTTTTCATTTCTCCTTGCCTCTGATTTAGGCAATTTTCCTTTCCACCATGATGCGGCCACCACCTCTCTGCCCCTTAAATCAGTTTAATTTTTACCAACCTAATCACTCCTTTTTTTCCCCTACCAGCCACTATTTGTTGGTGGCCCAGCACGTTAGATGCTTTCTCTGCCTCAGCTCCACAGCCCATGAGGCAGCCAGTGCGTCAGGCTTGTCCCACGACAGTGCTGTGGAGTGGGATTGAAAGCCGGGTCCCCCTACAGACTCACGTCTCTGCACTCAGGTCGCCATGCTAACCCCCTCCAACCAGAGAAAACATCTACCTTCCTAAACGAAGTGTTCGTTTTTCCAAACTTCTCCAGTATCTACGGTCATCGCCGTCATTCCCCGCAGTATCTATGAAAATCTACCCATATCAAGTATCTGTTTAATAGTCCTGTACTGAGTAAACCACGTCAGGCCTAGAACACAGTGAAAAAGGGGGTGAGACGGCAAAAAAGGAAGGACGCAGGACGGAGAAGGAAAGCAATGGGATGAGAATGGTGGGGGAAGTGGGCGGCATCCCTGAACCCTGCCCCTGCTCCCCACCCCTCAGAATGGGAGTGGCCACCGGACCCTGCACTGTCCGTCCAGGGCAAGGCCACTCCCTGAACTTCCTACAACTTGCCTCTGGGGCAAGCCTGGTTTTGTGCAGCAACGAATAAAAAGCTCTGAAATAAAGGCACTGTGCATCAACTTCTAGAGTTTCAACCTTTCCTTCCTTCCTTCCTTCCTTCCCCCCAACACCCTTTTATTTTACTATGGCCAGGCTCGAAGTTTCTTCAGCTATCAGTGATATAATTAGTAAGTGACAGGGAAGAAAGTTCTAAAGTACACGTTTAGCAGTTGACTGTAGAGAAAGATGTGGTTTCAACCCAAACCCACAAACGGCCCTGGCTGCGGGAGAGGCACTGGGGCTGCACAGGCAGCCAAGGCCCGGTTTTTGTCCCCAGCTCAAGTCAGGGCATAACCAGGGGCTCCGGTGGGGGACTCCGGTGGGGCGCTCCCGCGGGCTGCTTATGCTTCCATTATTATGCACTCAACCACTTCCTTTTACTTTTTACTCAGGAGAACACAAAACCAGATCCAACTTCCAAAAGTCAACTTTCAAAAAACCCAGGCGCGGGAGGTGCCAACAGCCGCCCAGCCAGCCTCCCAAGGTTTAAATGGCCCGACGCCCGGCAAGAAAGAACCGTCCGGAGGACAAAGGCGGAGCGGGCACGCCCCAGCGCCGGGCGCCGCTACCCCGGGCGGCCCTGAGGCGGCGGCGACCCCGCACGGAGTCCCGGGCTGGTTTTCTGGACCAGAAGGCATTTAACAAGCTGCCCCCACCGGACTTGCGCGCTTCCCTCCAAGACCCGCAACTCTTTCCGGCCGCCCAGCTCCCGCGTCCCCGCCCCCGCCCGCGCGCCCCGCTGGGGAAGCTGCCCCGCGCCCCCTCGGCACCCGCGGGCCTACCTGCAGGGCGAGCCCCGCTGAGCCCCGGCGCCGAAGTCATAGTGTCCCAGCCCGCAGAGCTGGCGCCCGGGAAAGACTCAGCTTCCTGCATCCAGGGGCCCGCAGCCCCCGCCCCTTCCTCCGCCCCAGCCCGCCCGTCCGCTCCCGGGAGGGGGTGGGGGCCGCGTCTGCGCTCGGAGCCTCTCGCCCGCGGAGCTCAGGCTCCTGCCCCCACTCCCGAGCTCGGGGCGACCAGAGCGCGCGGGGAAGGCCCAGGGACGCGGTCTCGTCCGCCTGGCGCCTGGAGACGAGCCAGCTCTGGGGAAATGCCGGTTGGCACCCCGAGGACACACGGCGGGCCCGAATAGTGAAGCCGCAGGTGGTTTCCCGGCACCTGCGGAGAACCGAGGTTCGCAGTCCCCGCCCCCAGTGTTTGCTTCTCCCGCCTGCCTCCCAGGGGGTGGGGGTCGCGTTTTCCGGCTTCCCGTTTAGTCCTTCCCCAGTGCGAGTTATGTTATAGAACTGTAATGATTTCTTTTAAACGCTGTTTGCTTGGGGGTTTGGGGACAGAGTAAACTAGAGGCAACCCTGGGATTTTTAAATCTGGTTTTCATAGGTAGAGCTAATTCGGGGAAGCGATCATAACTTCGGAGGCGGAACTTTGGGGTCTATGTATGTAGTCCTCACTGACAGTGCGCTGAGCGCCACCGGGTGCTCAATGTTGCATTGAACTTAGCTCCTCCTTCGGTTGGCTGTTGTGTGAATTTGCTTCAAAGAGCAGCTCTAAAATCGGATTAAAAGGTGGCCTCATCTTTTGTCATTTCTCTGGGTCTTGTCATTTAAAAAGTAACTAACTTCAGACTGCTGGGAAAATGTGTTAAAGCACCATTTTAAATACATTAAAATAACATAAGGGATACTTAAGTATAAGGGATCCGTCTTCAATAAATATTACCCTATTTGGGAGAGAAAAATTAAAATCCAACTTGATAACTTTTCCCACGTGTGCTTGGTCATTAACTAGAATATGAAATCAGAGGATTTTTCTCACCCAATGCCATTTACTGTTCATTTCATTGTGTGTGCAAAATATTTCAGAAATCTGTTTTAGTAACTTACTCTGTAGTTAAGATATAGGGTATCACTCAAAGCCTTGTACGGTTGTTGTGGCGATTAACTAAAATGACCCATGAAGTTTTGGGGTGATGGTGGGATGGTGTGGAGCCTACGACCAAGAAAGAATTCTTGGAGACATCTTTGGTGCAAAAAGGTGATTTTATTAAAGCACAGGGACAGGACCCATGAGCAGGAATTGCTGCGTGCACTGGGGTTGTGCCAGGTAACTGGTTATATACTAGGGAATTGGAGGAGGTAAAGACACAAGGGCCCCCTCCAGAGGGACTTAGATATGCTAAAGAGGACTCTTAAGATATTTGAGGGCTTGCTATTACCAAGCTAAGGTTGTCTTTCCCTCTAGCAAAGTATTAACTTTAAGACAGTAGGGAGTTCCTGGAGAAACATTTAACTCTGCCAGCCTCCAGTATCTGTCACTGGGCTGCAGATTATAAAGAAATTTAATTTTACCTGCCATTTCCTTCTTGCCTTTGTTCCCCACATCATTATGGGTGGTTGGGGCTGCAAGAAACTGAGTCTATAGGTTTCTGGAGATTAGGCTATTGATAAGATTGCCTTTCTCTTAGGGCACCTGGGTGGCTCAGTCAGTTAAGCATCCAATTTCCACTCAGGTCATGATCTGGAGGTATGTGAGTTCGAGCCCTGCATTGGGCTGTGCTGGCAGCTCAGAGCCTGGAAGCTGCTTTGGATTCTGCCTCTCGGTCTCTCTCTGCCCCTTCCCCACTCACACTCTCTCAAATATAAAATAAAATCATAAAGGAAATTGCCTTTTTCTTGCAATTTACTAAGATATTTGTAAACTGGAGACCCATGTCCTATATGACTGTGATTTCTATCAGTTAACCATTTTTCTTTCCTTTCCTCTGTTCTTGAGCATCCAAGAGTGTCTGAGGAATATCACACATATCCCATCTGGGGGTGGGGGTGCTAGCTTGTATTTTGCCCTCAACCTGCCTTATGCTCCTTCATCATGACTACTTAAAACAGTGCCTGGCTTGTGAAGAGCTCAAACTATTTTTGTTACCACCATCTTTAGCTCACTGAAAGCAAGATTGGCCTTCTTTTGGTTTCCCCATTAGAGGAAACAGTTGCTTAGCATGTAGGAGGTGCTCAGTAAATATTTATCCATTGAATGAGATCCAGGATTTCAGCGTTTGCACTCTGGACTTTATCCAGTTTGAATGTGTTATCTGACCACCAGAACTTCCTGTCCTTTTGCCCAATTTTCAGGGTCTCCTCTGCTTGAGTCCTGAAAACACT